CGTCCGTAGCTTCGGGTGACACCCTCGCCTCGCCCCTCGAAGCTCAGCCAAAGACAGCTCACTGAGCTTGCCCAGTCTGCGCGTGTCCACAGGACAGCGCAGCATGTGATAAAGGTGGAGCAAGCCGGCGACGAGCTACCCACGCCGCTGGAAAAAGCTCGCCCAGACAGCGGAGCCGCGAGCGGAAACAACCTCCATGCCTCCCACCCCCAGGATATTTTCAATATGTTCTGTTTTTGAAAGTTGGAATGAACACATACACACACATATATATATATATGTATATGTGTATATATATATATATATAAAACACCGCGCTTCATCCAAACTTAGTGGGGCTAAGGCTACCCGGAAAGACCTTTGCAGCGTGTCCAATATAGCAACGGGGCTTCTGATTAAGGCTGCATGCAAGCCTTGAAGCCACCATCCTCAAGGCTCCGAACACCCACCAACATGGGTGGCAAGTTCGATGACCTTTACTGCGCAATCATGCCTCGGGCTTTTGAAGACGTGCCAATTGCTGCACCTGTCACGCAAAAGCTCCGCGGCCCAGCGGTGACCCAGCGCGCATCTGCTCTTCTTGCACCCTCTAAGCCTGTAAGGGCCTCCCCTGCCACGCAAAAGCAACTGCAAATGCATTAAGTGCTGTACCTGCCAGTGCACCGCAGGTCATGGATTTAGGACGTTCTGGGGCTACTACAACCACGCTTGAAAGTTTTACTACTCACCAATCACACACACAATTTGTGTTCTCATATGTTTCTTCTCATTTGTGCTCTCACCTGTGTGCTCTCACGTGTGCGCTCTTTCATGTGTGTGCGTGTCCGACAATGTGTTTGCTTACAAAGGTGCATGTGCACGCTCTAGAATGCAGATGTTCGCTGGTTCATTTTTTGTTTTGTAATATGTTGCACTGCTTGGAGTGTTTTTCCGAGATAATCGTTTCGGAACATTTCGGAACCATATCCAATATCGGCGGTGTACCCCAAGAGAAGCAGACGAAGAAGGGCCCTCCATGCGGTGGGTTGTCCTCAGGTCGTTCCCCAACATGCCGAGCAACATGGATGTCGCTAGGGGTTTGTCATGTGTTCTAGGACCACCAACTATCATGAAATCGATTTAACTCCCAACATGGCGGAAACCATCATCAATATGTTCTGGATACTTCACTGAAACCTGGCACCTGTGCCTTCGAGAAGATTGCACTTCCCAGATGATAGAAAACACCTGAAACCGCACGACAAAAAAAAAATATATATATATGTGTATGTTGAATTCAATTTGGCCCAGGAATTGGGTGCACTCCAGACAATGATCCCCTATCATCCTCTATCCAAGATTGTTGGGCAACATGGTTTTCCCTATATATGCAGCATTTTGTTTTCATGTTTGTGCTCCACTCCAGTTGAATTCGATGGGAATTTTTGGCCCCAAGGAATCGACGCCAATGGGATCCCAACCATTTGGCTGTATTGGGGTCAGTGGTTGTTTGGTGATTCCACATCTTTGTTTTGGTACCTGCGTTGCTGCATTGGTGAAGTTCAGTGAACATCAAACAAGTGGCCCCAAAATTCAAGATTGTCCTGCCACCATGAAAGCCTTCCGAAGCGTTCGCCATGCTGTTTTCAGGAACTACCCAGCCTACATCTACATCCAAAAATTGCCTGTCAAGCGTGCAGCTTGCTGTGCGAAACGGGATTTTGCCGCGTTCCGGAAGAATGACGTAACTATATAGACCCACCACTGCGTACTTGGATCTTATTTTCATTTGGTAATCGAGATGAACAAGGAGGGTAGGGTCATCCATACAAACATTTTTTTGTTAAACAAAATCTGATGAAGTGAACCACAGGCCGGGAGACACCCACTTTGAGAGAGCAGATGCTGTAGCAAAAAGGTTGATGTTTTTGTATTTTACGGGTGGGTTACCCTCCAATTTGTAGACTGCCATTGGTAAAGAATACACTTCACCTTTTTGAAGGGCAGTTTCTAGATTAGATTAGATGTTTGTTTGGCGTAAGGGTATCTTGAATCCAAACACAAAGCCCAGGTGCATCTCTATACCTTTGTGCAGCTCATTTGCTTGGCAATCCTCTATGGTCTCAAGGAGATCAAGGAGATCTTGGGACCATTCACGTCGCAGTTTGTGGCTTGAGGTTTATATGTGTGAAACTGTGAAACAAGGGTTTTCTTTTCGGGACTCGCTAAAAGCGGGGATTGGCAATGTGCATTTGGAAAGGTCACCAAAGAGCCTTTTGGGCCACAATCGGGCATTTGCAGCCGCAGACTCTGCACATGCATTTATGAGGTGACATGATTCCGTGGCTGGAGCCTTTCTGCCAGCCTACACTTGGGTTTCTGGGATTGGTTGACGTCCCTGCAAGTGTTTGTTTTGGTTCTTTTTGAGGTGAACCAGGGTCACCTCATACCATCACTCACACCCAGAATTTGCTGGTGTTCTTACCACAAAGATGGTTTCCAACTGGTTCCAGTGGTCATGAGAGGCTTTACCTTCGCTGGTTAATAGAAGCTAAAATCGCTGCTCAGCGCTCTAACCGGACTGTGTAAGGAGTCCCAGGTGCCACCTTGGTATATACCTCGACCCTCCAATTGCTGAAGAATCTATGGGCCAACTATTGTTAGAGTCTGTTAGCCACGCTGTAAGCCACATTTGGAGGGTCCCAATAGTTGTTTGCTTTGATTCATCTTCACTGTTCACCGCAGGGCTTTGAACAATACACGCGCGATCTAAGCTGCAAACCCGCCCTCTTCCAGGCGACCTCCGTGGTGTTCCCATTCTTCATGGCATCCCTGGCCATTATCCGCAAGGCCGACCGCGACCGATCGGCGGAAGTTCGGTTCCGACCAACGGCGCGTCAGTGCGAACTTCACCGCCAATCGGTCCGTCTGAACGAAGACGGACGGATGGCTTACTAGGCCAGGTCTTTGTTACTGTTTTTTTTTGCGGGACGGAAGTTTGAGCGGTAGTTTGGGGCGCAAGATGAATCCGAGGGACATGACATTTGGACCAACCTGCTATGGGAATGTCACTTGCCTCAATGGTTCAGTTTCTTTTCCATGTAGAAGTATAGGGTCGGCCCTTTTCGCCAGACATCGTGGACCCATGAAAACGACAGTTTTGGAAAATGTGTTATCGGTTTTCCATGGTTATAACTTATACCCAATTGACCCCTGACACTGGAGTTCCATAAATCCCGTGGTTGAAACAGAGGAGATGTTGGGAAATCCAATGCATTCCAACTATGGTCCATATATGGTCATCATGTCTATCATCCCGTCCACAGAACCTTCCTCACACAAGGACTTGCAGCTTGGTAGCTTGTTCTGATTCCTTTGCTTCAACTAGAGCCTAGTCAGTAGGAAGCTGAGTGTCCCCTCGTGACGGGAGGATGTGCACTCCAGCCACCCTGGCCACCCAGACAGACGCAGATGGGATCTCGGACGAAAGCGGAAGGTGGGATCCATTCTGGGACGAAGCTCTCCCCACCAACTGTCCCAATATACAGTAGTTCTGACCAATCCCAATCCAGCCTGACACCTGCACCGCTGCAGGCCTTGAGGTTCATGTTCACTGCCGAAGAGCTCAAGTATTTGGATTCTTATCCTGATGCAGAAGAGGAAGAGGTCACCTGGATGATCGTCCCGTGCTGTTGTTGATGTGCATGACGTCTCTTTCTTTGTGCCACCGACAGCTGCCTTTTGTCCGATGTCCTAACAAATTGGTTTAACTGCGAGGGGGTTGGCTAGGGTGTCTTAGGACATGGTCTTATTTTTTCCCACGACATGGAATGGCTAACCAAGTCACAGACGTTTTGTTGGGGACATGCCGTGCTTTTTGAACAGCTCGGTGAGATCACCCAATTCCAGCCAGGAACAGCTGGGTCCACTGAAGGTCCATGGCCATGCCCTTTCTTTTGTGTTGAGGGATTTGGTTCCAAGCCGCCATGGTCGCACTGGTCGAGGATCGTTCCGGATCCGTCATGGAGGACATCAACACATCGAGAGGACATCAACACCAATTCCAGCGGAGGCGAACGTGGTTTCCATGTTCTTTACAGTTTCAGAGTAGAGTCGGCACGGGGAACCCCCCCATGGATGGCCTGAAGAGGCGCTTCAGGTGGGGGTGCATGATTGCACCACCAGTTACCCTCGGGGCCCGCCAAGTGCCATCTACTCTCAATCCATCTACTCTCAATCTATTTTAAAGATGGTTTCCCTACATCTTTTCGGGTGAGCTTTAGTGGTCCAAGTGGTGCTCGTGGCTACTGAGGCCCTGGAGCCTCAACCGGACCTCGAGAACTTGGGCGACTTGCCAGAGGACCCGAGGGTCCTGGCGCCGGATCCATGGTGATTCTGTGGGAGAATGCCTGGCAAGATCAGCAGATATATGAATCCGGAGCTGAGTTTTGGATTTGGTCCACTTGAAAATTAGTCTCTTAGTTTTCGATCCGTGGATGTAGAATTCCGGATGCATCATTGCATCCGACCCACCCTGCCTATGCCGCTGGAGCATTTAATAGGGTAGATCACACTCGGAGAGGTGATTTTCTGCTGGAGCGTTGTCAAGGTGACAGGGTAAGGAAATGGCTGCCTTTTTTGTTCAGTCAGTTGAGAGGTTGATCTCAAGATGGTTGGTTCAAGTTTACTAAAGACGTGCAGCCTATGAGTTCTGGTCCAGGACCATCCGCTTTCGGAGTCGCTCCCCTGTTTGATCTTTCCTCGTAGTGCAAAACACAGAGATTCTCATCAGGAGAGGAGGTGCTTTCACCTCATGAGTGATACTTATAGCGTCAATAGTGTAATAATCATGTGTCAACATGGGGAGAACCCGTGCAAAGCATTGCGTGTCAATGCGTGTCATCTATTTGATGCTCCCAGTGCGCTAGCTTCTTCTCTTTCTAGAAGAAGCAGGCAGGGGTTCTTGGGACAAATCCCACTCCCCTTCGCGTGGGATGAAGGCACGTCACGAAAAACCATAGGAGCCGAAGGTGGCCGAGGCCGAGACTGCGCAGAAGCACACGGACATCTAAAGATGACAGACATCTAGAGATGTCGAAGTAGCTTGTCATGCGGAGTTGTGAGGATGGGTGCTCATACAATGCTTCAGCGCGTCCACGCCCGGCGGGAAGAAGCGCGTTGACGCGGTGCGTTGTTGAGGTGTGTTGAGGTGTGCACACGATGAGTCTCATGTTGAGAGCTGGAATGAGCTGGATATTGGGAATGATATCATTTTTTGGGGGGAGTGCCCCTGTACCAGCACCCTGTGGCGGCCCGGTGCACCCTCCCAGACCGGTCTCCCGGCCGGCATGGGCGGTTCCACCTCAAATTTGGTTGCGACTTGTTTCGACTGCAGGATCGAATGATTTCTCACATTGTTCAAACATGACCTTTAGATACTTTGAATCGAGTGATAGAGCTACATGATATGATTTTGCGTCCATACATGTGTTGCATTATGTTGCATTTTTGTCGGCTGAGTTTCAAGTCTTGGTCACTACAACTGACCCGTCAAAGAGGTTCAGCGATTTATGAGTCCAGGAATCATGGACTGGAACAAGCTTTCTAGTCATGATCAGCACCAAAACCTTCTCCGTGCCCTTCGGAATGTGCCAAGGAAAGGAGGGAATGCTTGCGAACGCAGTGTTTGAATAACTTTTTTTCAGCAGGCCCGGACGGTGTTTTGACGCACTTACAGAGCTTTGCTTGCGGCTGGGTAGCTGTAGCTATTCCGAGAACGCCACTTCGCTTCAGGGCGTCGTCAGTTCGCTTCAGGTTGGACTTGCTGGGTTCGCTTCGGTAGGGTTTCTTTGGGTTTGGCTTAGGACTTCACTTCTTTGGCATTTCTTTTTGCTTGCTTTAAGTCTTGACTTCTTCAGGGTTTCCTTTTGTTTGGCTTGCGGGTCACCCTTAATTAGCGTTTCTTGAGGCTTGGCTCAAGCTTCTAGGGATATGCTGTATGCTGGCTTTCAACTTGGCTCCCCAAAGAAGGGTACGGGTCCTGGGTTACCCTTCTTCTTGTGTGTCACATTGTATTCCATGAAAGGGGCCACCCTTGTTTCTAGAACAAGTGGGGCATGCAATATGCACAAGGCTACTCAAAAAATACTCAATAGGCAGCTCCCAGCAAGGAAACTAGAAGGAGGCCTCTCAAACATTGGTATATACCTAGAATTTTAAAAAGAAACATATGGAAACTAGATAGCTAAAGAGATACATACAAGAAAAAAACAGTCGATAGACGTTCCATGCATGGCCTCTACGGTCAAGTGGTAACTAGGAAGAAAGGCAGAAAGGCATGAAAAAAAACAACAAAAAGCAAAAAGGAAGAAACACAGGAATGAAGAAAGAGAAAACTCCAAAACATGCAAGCTACATTGTTTGAGGCCGCTAAAGCAGAGGTATGCACCTGGGTCTAAAAGGATACGTATGGACACTAGATAGGTAAAGAGAATCATACTGGACGATCAGTTAATAATGCATCCATGCATGGCCCCTACGGTCAAATGCGAACTAGGAAGACATAAATAAATAAATACAGAAAGAACATAAAGAAAACACGAATAGATCAGGAAGAAAGATCTATATAAAGAAATCAAGGAACACTGTATATGTACTAAACCTCTCAACAAAAAAAACAGGCTAGACTGGTTGAGGCGTCTACAACAGTGGTATGTGCCTAGGAATATCTAGAAATCAAAAAGGAAACACATGGAAACTAGATAACTAGTCGGCCGCTGCAAAAGTTCAATCTGCTGCAACCGGCACTGTGGGCAGGACGTGGGAACCTGCAAGTTACATTGTCCTACCGTACTACCCTTCCCACCTGCCTGAATGTAACTTCCATTATAAAGGCAACCTTGGGTGTGGAAGATGTAGCTTACATGTTCCAAGCTCCCCCCTTCACTAGGGGTAGATTTACAGTACCATATCTACACATCATCTACATCATTTGTCTTCCCTACAATTGTATCCGGTCATCGCTAGTAGGTTGGAGGCATCGCTACTAGGTTGGCCATCGCTAGGTTGGGCTTATCGGATAGAGCCCACCCGTGCTTTCGCAGGTCGTGAGCACCTTTTCGCGGCCAGCATGTTTGGTGGATTTTCGGCAGCCGAGCCGGACCACGACCATGGAATGGACACAAAAACGAGACACGTCCATCGAAATCATCACATGTTGAATCGTGTCCTTGTAGAAGACTGGGAATTGAATCCCCAGATTAGTTTAGAAGGAGTCCAAGACATTTATGCTACTAGGTGGAGGCCATCGCCATTAGGTTGGAGGCCATTCGGGCCATCTATTAGTAACAAGAAGCTACTAGGTGGAGTCCATCGCCATTAGTTTGGAGGCCACCGGGCCATCGCTACTAGTGACAAGAAGCTACTAGGTGGAGGCCATCGCTATTAGGTTGGAGGCCATCGCTACTAGTAACAAGGACATTAAACTGTCACAAGGAGTTTCAGCCATGGTAGAAATTTAATTTGGAGTGTCCAGTTGGTGGGTGAATTCCGGCGGATTCTGGGTTTCCAGCTTCACTTCACCACTTGCCCTAGGTGAAAGCATAGACTGAAAGGGGCGTTCGGTTCTTTCAACACCCTTCTTACCCTTGTGTCGAGAGTGACTCAGGATTCAGGATTATTTTTCTCCAGTTGCTGATGGTCATGCCACCTTAAGTGGCAAGGGTCCAGGCTCCTTGCTCGATATTTTTCTGAAGCAAGCAAATACGTCCTCATCTTTCAACATGACCATGTCTTGGTCTTCATCTTGAAACTCCAATTGGAGGTGTGTCCAGTCTGAAGTTGAAAGGCAGAGGAGAGCAAATGCTTGTGTTTGATTTTGTTGAAATGGCGCCCTCGCTGTACCTGTGTGGAACTTGAGACAGCGACGCGTCGCTGGCGCTGCGCTGCCGAGAAAACCGTCTCATGCGCGTGAACAAGCGCCGACCATAAAAGGTGCAGTTGGTTGCTGGGGCTAGGCAATACGCCCGCCTTATGGGATTTGTCAGCCACTGGCAAGTTACAGTGCTGAAATTTTTATATAGGACCTCCTTATGGGATTTGTCTCGCCTCTTGATCATGCAGTGGAGCAAGATATCATCAAGAGTTACTTTTTGTTTACCTTTCAATGATAGTACAGTCACAGGCGTTCGCCATCGGCTTGGAAAAAGTACCTTTCAATGACACCCATGTCTTCCTGTTTAAATGACACGAACAAGCATCCACTTCCAAAGCCCGGTGCCTTTGTGCATCTTTTTGTGCCTTTGATCATGGCATGTTAGTGTCCCGGGCGAGACATGTCTCAGACTTACCGTAGCTTCCTTTGGTGGAATGACCTTTATTGGTGGGAGTTTGTTCGTGTTGTAGGCTAATATATAGGCCTATAACATGTATATAGAAAAAACATGCATCCTTACTTACTGGAAGACAGGGGGCCAGGTAGTGTGCATAGGCAAACTAGATTGTGCTTATGACATTCCGTTGAACCGATCAGTTCATAATATCAATCTTGCATACACATTCGTTGTCATGGCCATCACGGCATGCGTTCAGACACACACCTCACCCGGACTGAGGTTTTTGGAAACACATATGATCTAATCTCTCGATTTGAACAGACCGCACACAAAGAGCCAGCCAGTCACATACCTTGCCAAGTGGATTTCAGTTGAACATCAACCTAACGCACACCATCTCGTATGAATTAATTGGTCTTACTGCATGATAGCAACAGATTCTTAAACACAGGATTGGTTTGATGGCAGAATCCCAGCTTGCCCGAGCACTCGAATGAGACAGCTCGGGAGGCACACCCTCAGCAGCCTTCGCTTCCAATACACTAAGTTTCTAAGGTCATTTCGACCGCCTCCAAGCTGAGCTGTCAAGCGGCGGCTTGTGGCTTTGGAGAAACCCATGTTCCGCCCAGAGCGCACGAACCAAAGAGTTTCCATTCTGTTCGACTGCACGCTGCCATCCCTGTGGTCACTCGGGGCGTCCGCAGTCGTACCGAAACAGGTCTCCTGTGGTCACTCGAACGAAGTAATACCAGGTGTGATCCCACCCAACTTCCGACGCCCGAAGCCATGCGATCGCCCCGAATTCCAACGACCCGTGGTCAACGACCAAGGCATCCTCCCACATCCGTTCGCTTTGACGTGCTTCTTTCTGACCAAGCAATCGGCTGGCCAGGAACCTGAGTATCGCTTGAAGCTCCAGCAGATTCGTCTCGCCTATGCCGTAGCTCGACCCAAACGGAGCGTAGCTCGGAGATCTCAGCCCAGGGGCTTCCATATTTGACGATTTCTTCTTGAAGTGAGATGGCTCATGTTGTTTTCTTGAATGCTTCAGACGGTGAAATCTTGGGCCTGGTCACATGTTTGGTGAGGCAGAACGGAAGGTGAAGGAATCTAGAGATTTGTGCATCGACCGCATTTACAAGCTTTGAAGCTGAAGTACAGCTAAGCCAACCGCTACTAGCCACCTGCCAAGCCAACCAGTTTGTGCCTCTCGGGCATCCTCGGAGGGTGAGCTTTGTACTGAAGAGAAGGCTTTGTGACTCCTGCGATCGGTTTCATCACAGGATGTCATAAGCCTGAATCAAGCAAGCTGGCACCCCTTTGGGTCCACAGGAGAGTTCTGTTCTCATTGAGCTTACCTTCGGACACCTGCGTTTCTCCCAACTCGGACCTTCGCGCACCACGATCGGACTTCGCCGAGGACTTCGCGGAACGCGTGGAGCGCGGCCTGGCACGGGCCTACGTGCAACTGCGACCACCGGAGGCGGGCAGAGACTGACTGGCTGGGGCTGGTTATTGGGATACTATGTATATATGTACATGTGTCCTTGAGTCTCCAAAAACCTTATTTTGTTTGCGTCTAATATGTTTTTGGCGTTTTTGCTCGAAAAGCACGTTTTCAGAGATGAGGACTCAAAAAAAAGGTACAGAGTGAATCTTCATCCGGACGCGTCCGGTGCGGACACTTAAAGACGCCTTTTGGACGCAAAAAGACGCGTTTTGGACACCAAAAAAAAAGATCTCAGGACACTGTCTAAGGAGGATCTGACAGGCACAAACAAAAAAGGAACATTTCGTGACATATGCAAAAAAAGAGTGCGTTCTTTCAGAAACATTTTTTCTTGGAAAGGCAAATTTAAAAGGGTCATTGGAGACTCAAGGTATATATATATATGTATTCCCTAGGGCTCCAAATACTTTCTGAGAAGGTGTTTGTGGCAATATAAGTTATAAACATAGGACCTGAAAAGCATCTCTTTGTAAAGGAAAAGAGTCTTCCAGTGGTCCATGCTCAGAACTTCTTGGTTGTGGTAGAAAGTGGAATCTTTGTTGGTCCTTAGCTGTTTTTTCCAGTTTGAGCATTGGACAGTGTCTTGAAGATGAGTGCAGGAGGAGGTTTCTAGTTGAAGCTGAGCATCAGATACTTTTGCTTGGTTGGTTGCTTGTGGCAAGGGACAATCATGGGTTTCAGTTCCGAGCACTCAGGGTCCTGTGATTTCCAATCCCACCAGTTGTGCTGGGTTCTGGCTTCAGGTTTGCATGTGTAATCATGTCGTACATGTATATAATTACATATTATACATACAAATCTAGTTGTAGCACTGCGCGTCACTCAAAAAGAAGCACTCCTTCAGAGATATAGTTCCTCCACACGAGAGGATTTGTCGGACCCCTGCGGCGGAGTCCCCCCTATGGGATAGCCATGGCTAGCCCTTTGTTTCTGCGCATCAGAGCTATGGGCTATGGGGATGTAAGTATGATGTAAGTCAGCATGTTTTTTTTGTGATTGCTGTTGCTTGGGATGGTTGTTCCTTCTTCACCCAGATTGACAAGTCGCGGCTTTTGCACAATGGTCGTGGAGTTGATGCTTAGTGATGCGTAGTGGCAATAGGTTTGTGTCCAAGTCAAAGCTGGGGTGTTTGGGTTCTGTAGGATCTGTAGGTGAATATGATATATGACTTGGTTCTGTCCTATTACCTGTAACAGTCAGTAAACAAGCAAATCACTCTGTTTGAACAAGGCCTGCAACTGAACCATCATCATCCACTACACCAATGTATCATCCACTTTGAACAAGGACTGGGCCCAGGTATTAGGATAGACCCAAGTCGAGCATGATGCAGCATGTCTCGACTCCAAAGACGACAGATCCGACTAACTCGAAGTCTCGACCCACTTAGACGCGTCCCGACGCTTCGACTTCGACGCAGTGGGAAGGTGATCGAATCAGCGAAGCAGCACCGAGTCCCAACTTCCGTCGATCGTCTGGGTCTTTTTCTCATGGGAGCAATGAGAAAGATCCCGTGCAAGGATGTTTAGTCTGTGACTTACCCTAATTTGTTGCTGAAACAGGTTTTAGAGGCGGCCCGCAAGGCCTTACAATCTTGTCCGAGTCAGTTGTCAGGTAGGAACGATACCCTGGAACGATACCACTCGCTTCAACAAATATGTGGAAGAAGGCACGTTCATGTTCCCAAACTGTAGCTTACAGAGAGACAGCCAGCCAAGTGCTGCCATGTCGGGGCAAAAAGACGTTGCTCAATCCTTTCGTGCTCATTCGGTGGCGTTTCCATATCGTGTTTGATGGTGTCATTTTCCCATTCACCGTTCCCGCGTCAGGAACGGTGCAGGAACGAGATCCAGAACGATACAAGTCTCACAAGTCCATTTCCCAGCACTTGCCTACATGACTCCCACAGCAATACCCCAGAACGGCGCTTCCCACTCACACTCTCTCTCTCTCTCTCTTTCTCTTTCTCTTTTTCCCAGACCAGATAGCAGGAGCAATCGGGGCTGTTGCTTCAAGTGCGGGAAGAGGTGCCTGTGCACTTTGGAGCCTGGCTGCTGGTGCGCTGCAGGGTGCCGCTGTCAGATGTGTATGGCGGTGTGCACTGGCTGCTGGTGCGCTGCAGGGTGCCTGCTGCCAGATGTGTATGGCAGTGCGCGCTTTGGAGCCTGCATGCTGCTGCTTTAGGGTGCCGCTGCAGGGTCCCACAAATATCTTTTTAAGCCAGCGTAATTTCAGAAATATGTAGCAACAGCACTAATATGCACTAATTCTGAGTCTAGTTCTTGAGAAGGGTGGCTTGGTTCTTGGCAGTGGGGATTGGGTTTGGGAGCCACAAGAGGCGGCCAGCA